GGTGGATCAGATTCAATAGAGTATAACACTTAATGCCTATACACCGCCAGGAATTCTGAGTTATATGCATCAACCTGACTTCAAGCTGCAGATCTGGAGGAATCAACCAGAGAACAGTGACCAGAGGCCACAAGATGGCCACACATTCTGTGTGTGCAGATCCTTCACCACCTATGCTCTGAGAAAGAGCATCTAGCTTGCCATGACTTCCTATAAAAATAAAGATTTTAGAAAAGTTCTATTCAGAAAGGCTCAGGAAAAGGATGGGCTCTACACTTCTGTAAACAGAAGTATAGAAATGCAGGGCAATGGGATGAAATAAATGGAAAAGAAAATGAGATGCAAAAAGACAACTGTATTAGGGTAAGCAGGTAGCTCTGGGTTTGAATTCTGGCTTCTTCAGTTGTTAGCTGTGTGGCCTTAGGCTAATTGCTTAATTTCTTTAGGTGGCTCACACTGATAATCCTAGCACTTTGGGAGTTTGAGGTGGGAGGATCACTTGAGCCCAGGAGTTTGAGACCAGCCTGGGCAACATAGCAAGATCCTACTTTTATTTTTTTTTTAATTTCTGAAAAAGAAGTTTTGATTTCTTCATTGGTAAATGGGGATCAAGAAACCACTTGCTATCTCACAGGGTTACACTGAGCTTTAATGCTTATTAAATAGTGGTCACTACTATACTAACAAGCTTGGAAGAAGAGAATACTGATTGAGACAAAGACAGCACTGCAAAAAAACTAAAAATATAAATAATAATAATCTATATTGGAGATATTAAAGCATAGGATTAAAACTGCAAAAGTGTCTAAACTGGTAATGCAGAAGAGCTCCAAAGTCTGAGAAAAAGGAAAAATATTTAAAAAAGGATGAGAGAAAGGCTGAATCAGTGATTCAGCATAGTAACTAAAGATATTTTTGAGAAATAAATCAAGTAGAACAAAAACAATAAGCTAAAATATGAATAAGGAAAGCCTCCTGGAGTGAATAATCATCTCAGCATGCAGTTCCAGGGCTCACTATATTTCAGGCAAAATTAATTTTAAAACATTTTAAAGACACACACCTAGATATAATTCAGCAAAAAATGTAAAGTAGGGAAATAATTTTTAAAATGTCTCCACGAAAGGCTTTAGGGACCAGCTAAACAGAAAGATCTTTTCAACAGTCTGTAAACTATTCCAGAGCATAGAAACAGATGGAAAAACTAACCACATTATTTTATGAAGTGAGTATAACCAAGACAACAAAACCAGACACAAAAAACCTAACTCCACTTTCACTTCTGATTGATGCAAAAATCCTAAATAAAACCCTAGCAAACTGAATTCATCCGTATAACAAAAACACATACACACGATCAAGTTGGATTTAGCCTAACAAACATGGTCCAAGATTAAGACATCTATTAATATAGTATTAAAATATAAGACAACCCTATTTTAAGGTGATCCCCATTTTCTCAGTGAGAAGCTCCAAATATTATTACCACCAGCTTGAATAAATATAGATATTTATGAAATAGTCAACTATCTGTTTGAAAGTACAATTAAGCATACACATCTGAAATCATATAAGGGAAATATTTATCTTAAAATATTTTTCCATTCTCCAATATCATGAAGAAAATTGTATTCCACCTTTTCCCATGAGTAGAATACCAAGATCTCTTTTCTTTTCTTTTCTTTTTTTGAGACAAGGTCTTGCTCTGTTACCCAGGCTGGAGTGCAGTGGCATGATTGCAGCTCACTGCAGCCTCAAACTCCTGGGCTGAAGCAATTCTCTTGCCTCAGCCCCCTGAATAGCTGGGACTACAGGCACATGCTACCAAGCCTGGCTAATTTTTGTATTTTTTGTAGAGACAGGGTTTCATCATGTTTCCCAAGCTGGTGCTGAACTCCTGAACTCAAGTGATCTGCTGCCTCAGCCTCCCGAATTGCTGGGATCACAAGCACGAGCCACCACACTCAGCCTTTCATGCATTCTTGATGAGAATGTTATCAGAGGAGCCACTTGGAGATATTTAACACAGTCTTCCAGAACTAGCATCTTCACTTCTGTTTGAGCACATTTAAGCCCATGTACAATACATTAATCTATATATACTTTTACTTCAGAAAATCATTTGTCCTGAAATTGTATAATTGTGATCTCCACAACAAAGACTTGTTTTGTAAACTTATGACTTCCAAGTTTTGTAACGATGAGGTCACTTCCCAGGAATAATTTTACTATATCAGTGTTAAAGGTCCTAGCATCTTTTTAAAAAATGATTATTTCTGGTGACTTCTCTAGGCATTCAAAACCAGCACTGACCAAAATGCTTTACCAGAATATTCAAAATAAATTAAATTGAGAATGCCTCCCAGAATCTGAGAGATCTTGTAAGGACTGAAGTGTGTCTCTCTTTTTTTCTGAAGGGTAAGTTTTGGGAGAAAAACAAATTTTAACCTTTTTCACCGCAGGACATATTTAGAAAATTACAGTATTTGGATAGCGTCCATGCAAGTGAACAAGGCTGCTCAGGGTAAATGCTATTCCGGCCCTGCCCAGGCTTCTCAGTAGATCAATACTGCAGCACATCATATGGAAAGCTCTGCTGTATCATGAGGTCCTATAAGAACATTGAGATGATCATCCAGGAGACGGATATTGCAAGTGGAGCCAGGCTCCGCCTGGCTGGGTGACCTGCGGTAAGGTGCTTATGCTCTTGGTGCTTTGGTTCTCACATCTGCAAGATGGGACAATAATAGTTCTCAGAGAATTCGTTATCATGAGGATTCACTGAACTAATTCACAGGAGGCACTTAGAACTACATCCCGCACATAGTAACTGTTCAACAAATGCCAGATTCAATATGTAAGCCAGATTGAAAGCAAAACAAAACAGCACGTAAAAAACAAGACGACAAAACTATGAGTAGAATACCAAGATTAATTCCTCAACATGTCACCTCACCCCTACATGGTCATTTTACAGTAAAAGTCACCAGGTGACAAGCCCTGACCTAGCACTTGGAGTTTCTAATCAAATTGTTAGATTTTAGCCAAGAATCTCTAGGGATTTGAGAAAACCAAGCCACTCTCATTAAAGACAGACTGAAACAAATACATAAACAAACTGAAAAAACAGAACTCAGAGGAAGAGAGATAATGCTGGCAATATCAGCAAACTTTAAAAAAATGTATATACATACATATATATAGACACACACAAGAGTAATGGTTAAGAGCACAGGCTTTGGGAAAACAAGTTATAACATCCATAAATTAAAAAAAGAACTTTACAAAAAAGGAATTATCAGAAAACACAAAAGAGTTGTTGGTAATTAATAGACATGGGGGTTGAAATACATTCAATAGAAAGCTTACAAAACAATAAGATTTCCCAAACAGTAGAAGAAAAATAAAGAAAATAGGAGAGAGGGAAAAAACTAAGAAAAATTAGAGGATTGATCTAGTAACCAAGTAACAGGAGTTCTGTACAGATAAAATAAGGGAAGGTGGGATGGAGGGCCACACAATTTCGAAATAAATCATATAAGAAAATTCCCCATAACAAAAGGATCTGCATTTTCAGATTGAAAGTGCTCTCTGAGTGCTCAGCATGATGAACAAACGAAGATCAACACCCAAAGCACATTATAGTGAAATTTTAGAAAACGGTGCCTAGTGAGGGGGGAAGTCACATATGCAACAGATTAGGAATCAGAATGGCATTGTCAGAATGAAAATGATTTTCAAAAGTAATCTCTGAGATTATGAGTTTTCTATTTCCCTTCTTCTTTTCTTTCGTTCTTTTCCTTTTGTTTTTTTTTTTTTTTTTTTTTTTTTTTTTTTTTTTTTTTTTTTTTTTTTTTTTTTTTTTTTTTTTTGAGACAGAGTCTCACTCTGTCACCAGGCTTGAGTGCAGTGGCGAGATCTCAGCTCACTGCAAACTCCTGCAAACTCTGCCTCCCAGGTTCAAGCAATTTTCCTGCCTCAGCCTCCCAGTAGCTGGGACTATAGGCGTATGCCACCAGGCCCAGCTAATTTTGGTATTTTTAGTAGAGACAGGGTTTCACCGTGTTGGCCAGGATGGTTTCAATCTCTTGAACTTGTGATCTACCTGTCGCAGCCTCTCAAAGTGCTAGGATTACAGGCACAAGCCACCACACCCAGCCCTTTTCTATTTTTTCTATAATAACATATATAACTTTTATTGTCAGAAAACAATTTTTTTTTTGAGACGGAGTCTCACTCTGTTGCCCAGGCTGGAATGCAGTGGTGCAACTGAGGCTCACTTCAACCTCTGCCTCCTGGGTTCAAGTGATTCTCCTCTCTCAGCCTCCTGAGTAGCTGGGACTACAGGTGCCCACCACCATGCCCAGCTAATTTTTGTATTTTTAGTAGAGACGGGTTTCACCATATTGGTCAGGCTGGTCTCAAACTCCTGACCTCAGGTGATCCACCTGCCTCAGCCTCTCAAAGCGCTGAGATTACAGGCGTGAGTCACCGTGCCTGGCCCCGAAAACAATTTTAATACAAAAAAAAAAAAAATCCAAACTTGAAGACACTAGTGTAGATTTAAATGGCTCCATTATTTATCTGTCTTCATGTAAAAATCTGTCTCTTTGCAGTGATATAGAGACCCCTCCAGTCAGTAGGAGTCACGGCCATTGAAGATGCCTGGGTTGTACGGAGAGCTGGGAACAAGCCACTCCAGGGATTCACTACCCAGCAGCCCTGCATATGAGTGATGTCCACTCACACTTACTTGGTTAGTAAACATGTGTTTATAAGCCACAGTCCCCAAATATTTTGATATCTGAAGGAACAGGGGAAGCCCATCATTCTTTTTCCTTAGATACACCTTTCCATCCATTATTATCATGTCTCCACTATTGCAGTTTGCATTTATTTTAATAAGGCAATGCTAACCACGCCAATTTGTCTTCATTCCACTTATCAAATACCATGTCCTAGGCTTTGCCAAGAGATGATTTTCCTATTGACAGACTTACCTGTGGAGAAGATGAACACCGTGTTGTTCCAGAGCCCATGGCTTTTTAAGGCTGCAGTGACATTTCCTACTGCTTCATCCATAAGGGACACCATTCCTGCATAGTAATGCCTGTTCTTGTCTTGGATAAAATCATATGGCTTTAGGTATTCCTCAGGGACCTGAAGGGGCTCATGCACAGACTGGAGAGCAAGGTAGAGAAAGAGAGGCTGGAAAGAAAGTTTGTGTAAATCAGTGAAGAGGACATGAAAGCATTAAATATAGAAGGATAAGACAGTTCAGATTTATGCCTTAATAAAAACAATATCAAGACAACCTACAGAATGCATTGAAAGTATTTGTAAATCACATATATGATACGGGACTCATCTCCAGAATATATAAAGAACACTTACAACTCAGTGATAAAAGACAATTAACTCAACTACAAAATGGGCAAAGAATCTGAATAGCAATTTCTCCAAAGAGATATACAAAAGCAGTAAACACATATAAAGATATTCAACATCATTAGTCATTAGTAAGGTGTAAATTAAAACCACAGTGAGGTAGAACTTCACATCTGCTAGGATGGTAATAATTTAAAAATGAAAAAGAACAAGTATTGGTGAGGATATGGAAAAATTGGAACTGTCACTCATTACTAGCAGGAATGTAAAATGGCACACGTAGCCACTTTGAAGAAACATTTTGGCAGTTACTGAAATTGTAAAACATAGAGTTAACATATGACCCAGCATTTCCATTCCTAGAGAAATCAAAGCATATGTCTACCTTAAAACTTGCATGAACATTCACTGCAACATTATTCATAATAGTTAAAGAGTATAAACAACCCAAATGTCTATTGATGAGTGGATAAATAAAATATGGTATATTTTCAGCAATATATGGCAATAAAAGAAATAAAGTATTGATATATACTACAACATAAACCTTGAAAACATTATACTAAGTGAAATGAATCAATCACAAAAGTCCTATCATATAATTTCATTCACATGAAATGTCCAGAAATATAGGCAAATCTATATAGAGAGAAAGTGGTTGCCTGGGGCTGTAGGAAATTGTTGGGGAGAGGAATGGTGAGTGATTGCTAACAGGTACAAGGATTTTTTTCAGTGGGTGATGAAAATGTTTTAAACTTAGATTGTGGTCATGGTTGCACAGTTCTAAAAATTTACTATTGAATTGTATACTTTAAATGAGTGAATTTTAGGGTATGTAAATTTTGTCTCAATAAAGATATTAAAAAATATAACAAAAGACACAAGATAAAAAAATTGAAACTAAAAGCCAGAGTCCCAGAATGGCTTCAATGGACCTGAACCAAACAAATAATAATATCAGTAATAGCAACCACATATTAAATGTTATCTACATACTAGACAGTATAATAATTTACATATCCTATCTCATTGAGTATGATTGAAACCACCTAATGTTATAGCAATTTTACAGATGAGTTAACTGAGGCTTAGAAAAGTTATATGTAGGATTTGTCCAACTCCGCATTAATTGAAGAGCAATTTCCTATTGAAAAACCCACTATTACGATATGGCTATATACAATAGATGCTTTAGCTGAAAATAAGTCATCTTTTAGAAGAGGTTTAGTATTTTTAAAATATATTTTATGAGGAAAAAAAGTGAACACCATGCCTTGTTAGTCTTTGATATAGGACCAAATGTAAGACCAGTTTAATTCCTGAAACTAAGAAGTACGACATACTGATTCTATTGATACTATTTTACCACTTACATCAATTTGCAATATTTAACATTAATGATATTCCAGGTCAGCTTCTCCTTTTTAATGAGTCTTTCTGAAGGCATTCTCTTCATAGTGCTCCTAAAGAATTCTTTAATGAGTTGAAAACCCTCAAAGAGACAACAACTAGTTCAACCCAAGGATAAACATATAATTCTGTTAAAGTATTTGAGGCATTTAAATCTCATAAATGAAATGATTAGAAACAGACTGTGGGGGGGGGGTGCTCGTATTTTATTCTTCATTGTTGACAAGCTGTTTTAAATTTTATATTATGCATCCTTGTAATGCAGAATGACTATTCATACATAGAACTCAAATAGACCCCCAAAAGTTTATTTATAGTTCAGGTCTTTGGAACTCAGAAACACATTTTCCCCAAACTCAAAGAGTTAAAAGTAGCTGTTAAATATCACAGTCATTGCTTTAAAACCTATTAAACTAAGAAGGTAGGTGATGGAATGAAAATGATCCTAATGTAGAACCCGTACTTCCATTATTTCCATGGGAAAACATTCCAAACTCCCACTCCAAAAGTCTATACTATAGCCTCTGACACCATTTTAGTTCTGCCTCTGCTTCCCCTAGACACACACAACTTCTGCTCCAGCTGCACGGTCATGCTGAAGCATCTATGTTCCTGTAGACCATGGCGCAGGATATCCCAACAGATGCCCTGCCTGGGGATGATGAAGGTCCCGGCTGTGATGTCTGCAGGGAAGAATATGCAGGTGCATCGCTGACCTGGGTCTGTTCTGGGTACTGGTGTCTGGGTCTTCAGCACTAGACCAAGCCAACTCCAGCCACCAGCCAAGGTCCAGATGGGGATAGGATTAAAAATTGGAAGGCTACAATAATTTACAGTCCACATAAAGTTTTAAAAATCAGAAAATATCACATCAATCTGTTTTTATATATAAAAATTTTTTTGAAAAATCAGAATTTCTGACAATTCTTTGTCCACACACCATCTAGTAACAAAAGGCTGGAGTATGAGAAACAGGGGCCCCATCCCCCTCAAGTGCTATCCAATTTTCTAGTTTCCCACTGTTCTACATGAGCTGCTTCATTTCTTTAGGTTAGCAGTCTGGCCCTTGCAAACATGAGATTTTGTGACTATGATCTGGATTCTTAACAGTGGGAGTGGGTAGGCAGTGCAAGGGGGAGAGAGGAGGCCTATGGCTTAAAGAAAATGTTCTTATCCAGGTCATTAGCAGCAACATGGCAACCCACCTGATGAAGGAGAGAAGGACAAATAGGGCAGGTGATTCCCAGCCAGCAATTGCTTACTAAAGGCAATGGCTGGGAAGGGGGACAGGGGAGTTATTGAAACAATGCCAAGGGAAAACAAAGATTTTGGGACCATTATTAAAGGTTCTTATAAATATTCAGTATGGAAATCATTCTAGTCAATTTGTTAAATGTGGTGAAAAATAATCTAAAAATCTTTCCCATAATTACTCCTTAGTAGCTAAAGACATTACCATCACTTTTATAAAAGAATATAAATTTTAGGACCCTGTAAATTATGCCAAGGGGAAAATTAAGTCCTGGAGGCTGAGTCACATATTATGTTTGCAACTTCTGTTTCTTGGATTATAGATTAACTCTCTTCTTTATTGCTCTTGTTCTGTAAATGACTAGGACAGACCAGAGACCAGGACTTCTCTCCTTCCTATTGAAGATCTTTGTTACAGATTAACCACCTCCTTTATTGTCCTGTACCTAACTCAGACCAGATGACCCAAAAAACACCATGACTGTTACATCTTCAGTGTGGAATGTTAAATATACCTTTCCCAAAAGAAAAACACCACCTTGACTAATCAGATCATTGTAACTATGCATTAAGCCTTATACAGAAAGATGTTGAACTTCTGTTAAGCACCCCTAAACTTTGTCTATGTAAGTGATATGGTTTGGCTGTGTCCCCACCCAAATCTCATCTTGAATTGTAGTTCCCATAATCCCCATATGTCATGGGAGGGACCCAGTGGGAGTTAACTGAATTATGGGGGTGGTTGCCCCCATGCTGTTCTCATGATAGTGAATTCTCACAAGATCTGATGGTTTTATAAGGTGCTTTTCCCCCTATGCTTGGCACTTTCCTCTCCTGCCGCCATGTGAAGATGGACATGTTTGCTTCCCCTTCTGCCACCATTGTAAGTTTCCTGAGGCCTCCCCAGCCATGTGGAACTGTGAGTCAATTAAATCTCTTTCTTTTATAAATTACCCAGTCTCAGCCACTTTTTTTTTTCTTGCAAAACCTCTCAGCTCACCAGAGGGCCAGAGGAACTCAGGCAGTTCTTCATAACAGCGTGAGAATAGACTAATACAGTAAGAAATCCCAAATTTCTACACTTTGAAACACAGACTTCCATTCTTTGGAATCTGTGCTTCCCAAGAGGCCATCCTTAAACTCTGTACTTGAATAAAGTCTCTTGAAACTAGATTCTGATCCTTTTCATTATTTTGACACTTTTGAGGGGTTAAAAATAAAAAATTACACCAGTCCTGATCGGTCCAGTGGTCAGACCCTTGACTCAAACAGAAGGGACATGAATGAAAAGAGGAAGTGACAACAGCCTCTGAGTGGTGAGGACCAGCCTGGCATGTGACTGTCACAGGCCATGCAAAGGCATGCAACCTGCTTACCAGACCTAATAACTTAGAGGTATAGATTAAGGTAGTCCTTGAACAAAAAAGTTGTCTTTTTCTCCATCTCATCAGCAGCAGTCTAGGGCTAATAAGTGTGTGGGCAGACAGCCTTACAAACAACAGTATGGCTGTTGGTCACGAGGAGGTGGCAGAATGATGGGTAGTATAGCCCATTTCAAGAGGTCAGGACTGATGCACATTTTAGATATTTCCATCCCATACTAAAGAAAATAGAGTTTCAGCACTCAGAAAATGAACTTTATTCATGAAATATTATAATCCATTCCCCAACAGTGGTAAATGCGAAACACTTCTATACTATTTTTAAATTGAAAAAAGAAAGAGAGTAGTGTTTTTAACACTATATGGTAGCCCAGTGGAAAGAATTAACGAGGGCTCTAAGGTTCTCCAACCACAATGAGGACCCCATCTGCAGCCACCAGTCCTGGGACTCTGCCTGTGAACAGCTGTGGTCAATTTTCCCACTCCTGCCAACTAGAGCTCAGCTCACTGTCAGCCTAAAGCCAGCAGCTGCCATTGCTGGAGCCTGATCTCTCCCCTGCTTTTTCTTAGGTCCAGAACCCTGTTCTGATCAACTGTCACAGTTGCTGCCTTTGCACCAACCCTACCTGTAACAGTATCTGATGAATGTAAAATAAAATCCTAGGCATGAAATCGTGACTAAATATCTAAGTATTACATAAAAGCAAGACATTATCACCTAAAGCTATCAGCATATTCATGTCTGAGATATTAGGAGTTCTCTTTTCCCTTATTTATGCCATATGGTTGCTAAGATATATACTGTAAATATGCTCATCATGCTAAGAAATCTTATTTCAGTGAGGAAGAAAGTCTTATTTTCATTTCTTTAGTATATTTTCCTAATTTAAAGTATAAAGAAAGAAAAGCATATGATAGGTTTTGAAACTGCTTTTCTATCTTTGACTTCTAAATACTTTTTTTTTTCCAAATTGTGTCAGGGAAAAGTAAAAGTGTTCCACTAGAAATTAACATTTTCCTTAAGAAGCTACTAGTAGATCAGGTGTATAATATAACATTTGCTTCCATTCTGCAAAGTGTTTATGTGGGGGGCTGTTTTTAAAAGAGATATTTTATGAATATGTTACTTTCAGTCTATAGTGTCACTACTACGGGGAATCATCCTGCTGAAAAAGAGGAAGGACATTCCTTCTTAACACATGTGAAAGTAATTAGCAGGACCTTCCTGAGTGCAGCATTAGCAACTGTGTTTCGGTTATGAACTACCTCCAAATGCTTTTTCCCCCTCAAGTGTTTTTTAAAATAGGCACAATTTTAAGTTAGCCTGTGAATTTTTCATGTGCTTTTCTTTAATGATTTTTATCTTAGAACAAGTTGCTTATGTTACCATCTATATATAGTATCTGAGAAATTAGCCCAGAATTAGATTAAACCTCAGGATAAAATCATGAAAAGTACAGCTCCCCAAACTGGTGAGTTGCATCATTTTATACCGAACTGAAAATGTAAGCCTGTATTAGCTGTCTTAAACATTCTTGGGTTACAGCTTGACTCTTAATTATTTCATTCGCTTATGTCTATGATTGAAACTTTTCTTTGAGGATATTGGGAATGTTGGATACTGCTATAAAATGTTTCAGATATGATAGGAAAATGACCATTCTCTCATCTGGCACTTTCCAAACACATATGAACAGCGGCCATGCTAATAACACTCCTTTCGTGGCTAGCAAGTTCTTAGGGCTTCCCATTGTCCTCAGTCCCCAAGTTTCTCTCCCGCGCCCCAGTTAAGACAGCCCACCCACAAAGATCTATTTGACTTCAGCTGCTTCTTTTTATCTGCTTAATGTTTTGGAACCCTGTGAGGGAATATTCTATTGTTCTTTAGTAGGAATGAATTTGCATTGTGGGCAGATTACAGTTGCTGCATGATTAAGGTAGATTGTGAACCTGTAATACGTAGTTGGCTTCTGCTTGCCTCTCCATATTTGAAAGGAATGCCCTGAATGACCCATCCTAGAATGGCTCTCACTGCACCAGGTGTCAGTGGTGGCTGCACATTAGAATCACTGGTAGGAGCCGGGGAGGAGGAATAACGAAGTACCAATGCCTGGGTCCCACCTCAGATCAATGAATCACAATATTTGGCATCAGTATTTCTTATAAGTTTCCCAGATGATTCTAATAGATGGTCAGGACTGAAATCATTAAGATGAATCATGAGCTGGGACTCAGAATCTCTGGTCTTGGATATTAGCTGTGAACTAGGGAGGCTGATTAAGTGCATGAGGTCTGGAGTCAGAGAGCATGAGTTTAAATTCTGATTCTGACTCTCAATAGCTCTGTGACCTTGAACAAGTTACCTAACTTCTCTAAGCCAGTTTGCTTATGTGTAAAATGGTATCTCCCTCAAAGAATAATACATGGTTCTCTTAAGAATACCTTGTTAAGTGTTAAGCCACATCCATAAAATGTCAAATATATAAAAGAAAACTGAGAACTTAAGCCAATTACCTAGCAGCTATTTTTCCAATTATCTGAATATTTGTTTAGATTTAGATTTAAAATCTGTGTATTTCCACATATTTCAGAGAATGTTCCCATTTCTTCATGTTCCACAGAAAGCATGGTTGCTTCAAGATATCTGCATATGAGAGTGATAGCCAAAAGTGGGACACAGCTGAGGACAGATACTTGTTTCTGTGTTTTAACTTCTGTATGTGCTTGATTATTTTTTACTGAATGTCAGGAGTTGTCTATTGAATGTCAGGAGTTGTATAACATTTGACGGTGTAAATATAATTTGAAGTTCAAGGTAAAGTTGTCTTCTGGAAGATTTTACCTTAGCTTGTGGAAGTCAAAGGAGGATGCCAGCAATCTGGCATTTAACTCAACCAGGGAAGATTTCCAGTACTGAGTTCAAGTAGGCAGAAAATGAAAAGGAAATTAACAGCCACATACCAAGTTCAAACAGGTATGTAAACCAGAATCCACATGGTGATCTTCTTCTAGTTTAGATATTTGACCCTCGTCCAAATCTCACGTTTAAATTTGATCCCCAGTGGGGGCCTGTTGGGAGGTGTCTGGGTCATGGAGGTGGGTCCTTCACAAATGGCTTCATGCCATCTTTGCAGTTATGAATAAGTTCTCACTATATTAGTTCCTGAGAGAGCTGGTTGTTAAAAAGAGTCTGGCCTCTCTCTCTCTCTCTCTCTCGTCTCTCTCCCCTCCAGCCATGTGATCTGTACACACCAGCTCAGCTTCACCTTCCATTATGAGTGGAAGCTTCCTGAAGCCCTCACCCAGAAGCAAATGCTGGTGCCATCTTCTTATAGAGTCTGCAGCACCATGAGCCAAATAAACCTCTTTTCTTTATAAATTACCCAGCCTCACCTATTCCTTTACAGCAGCACAAACAGACTAAGAAAGACCTGCACCAAGGGCCTTCAGGCATTGTCAAAGAGGCAGAGTAGGAAATTAGAAGAACCAGAAAGCACTACAGATTCTATAATTTGTTGTGCAGGGTATCACTGAAGTATTATTTTTATGGGTTATTTATAGGTGTTCTTAATGAAGCCATATTTTGAGACCAGTGTCTGACAACACAAATATTTGTTCCCATTTCAAAAGCATTTATAAGCTAAATCCAGAGAACTTAGCTTAAATTTTACCTCATGAGTAAAGTTAACAAAATAATTATAATAATAAGATTACTGATGATATACACAATAGCTTCATCAATATACCAGGTATATGGATTAGAAGACCCAATATTTTTAAGACATCCACTCTCCCCAAATTGTTCTATAGATTCAAATCCAAATCCAAGCAGACACTTTTGGGGAGCTGGCAAATAGAAATTGACTAGGTGATTCTAATATTAACATGAGAATGCAAAAGATCTAGAATAGCAAAATATTCTTGCTGGGAGGAAGTACAAGGTTAGAGGACCTGCCCTGATCCGAAAATTTATGGATCTTTTAAACAAAAGTTTGTCATAATAAAGCCTCATCTAATATATAAGACAATCATTTTTTAAGAGTCATTTTATTAATTACTCACAACGCATGCACATAATATACCAAAAATTTAAAACATATTTCTATTGAAACACTTCCAACACAGTATTCTTCAAAGCATGATCTGGGGACCACTCTTAAGAATCACCTTTTAAGAATTTCTCTAAAATGCTGATGTAAGGATTTCTCCCACACCTAATAAATCACACCCTGGAGGTAGGCTCCAGGAATCTTCATTTTTAACAAGCTTCCTAGGTTGATTCTGGGGTATTGTATAATTTGAAAAGGACTTCCTAGAATTTATTAGACTTTTCCCTAAACAACAATGGCCTTTTCCTATATTCGTCTGAAAAGACATTAGCATAGTAAGATTTTGCTACCAGTAAATAGAAGCAAAACTTACCTTCTCTGGTGGATGGTTAGTTATGAGGGTTGTAGCCCTTTTGGTGAATATGTTTGTTGAATACATATTTTTATATCCTGTTGCAACTTCTTCACCATCTCGGAAATCAAGAGCACATCGTGTAACATTCAGAGCGTCAATTAATGTACAGCGCTCATGGGAATAATAATCTTCACTACCCAGGAGATATCCTACAAGAATGGGAAAAAAAAAATAGCACAGCATAAAACTTGTTAAACAAACTAATGTTTCAGCATTTAATTGCCTAATGCAGTTGATCACCCGTGAGTAGGCTAATCAAATGACAAGGCTAATCAGCACCGTTTCTCAACATCTCTGTATCTGGTAACAGGAAGCATTAAAACATTAGTGTATAAAAACTCAAATATGTTCCTCATTCGTCTTTAGAATATAGGCTCTATCACGTAACACTAACAGTTTTTTTTTTTTTAAATCAGAGTTGAATTCAGTAAGGGTGATAATATCTTAATCCTTTAAAGCTATATAAAGGTAAAATAATGTATAGCGAATGTGGCTTGTTAGAAGTTTTTACTCTAAAGTGATCACATAAATGAGTGCAGGATTCAAATAATGTTTGTTGTTACTGATGTTGGGAGACTGGCTTCAAGGTTATTTATAGAAGTGGTTCTAGGAGGAGTCATCTTTAGTCAGATGCTGACACCCACTGGTGAAAGATACAAACCTTTCCAATAGAGGATCTCTAGAAGTAACAGAGCTAATAGATCAAACTAAAGTCAGCACTGAAATAGGATTTTTCTACCTATAGTGATCTTAGTTTTGCCCCATATTTAAATGGCATCAACTGCCTATCCCACAATTTAGACTTCATATGGAAGAAAATGGGTTTTCTCAACTAAGAGTTGTTTCTGCAAATGTTCCATATTTTCTATATTTTAAAATATTATCTTTCTATATTTTAAAGTATTAAAATAAGTGGTGCTACTATATATGATCCCACTTGTATTAAATGTCCATAACATGTAATCTGTAGAGACAGAAAGTGGCTGCCTAGGGCTGGAGGGATTAGGGAGAAGTAGAGGGTGACTGCTAAGGGGATGGGTTTCTTTTTGGGGATGATAAAAATGTTCTACAATTGGATGGCCATGATAGTGGCACAACCTTCTGAATTTATTAAAAATCACTGAATTGTACATTTTAATTGGCTGAATTATATGGTATGTGATTATACTTCAACAAAGCTATTAAAAAGAAAAATGATTTGCTAGACTCTTAGCTATCTCCTGACATATACTGCTTATTAACCTTAAAATTAGGATGATAAAATTGACCTAGCTCTTTCCTCTGTCCTGAACTTTCCCTATAATGACAATTAAGAGCTTTACATCGTTTATATAATAAATCAATTCATTTTAAATTCTCCTTTTCCTTGATCCAATAAATTCAAGATCTTGAATACAATTAATACTTTGGTCTTAAGATAACTTTTATATGGTAATCTTTTCTTCTATGTATATAATGAAAAAGGAAATACAAAGTCCTTGTTAACTAATGTGTAACACAGAAAGAAATGTATCCATAAAAATGATTTCAGCCCCTGTATGGGTGATTAGAATGTTAGAACACTGAAGGTCTATTTTAGTTTGATCTTAAGATAACTTTTATACGATAATCTTTTCCCCTATGTATATAATGGAAAAGGAAATACAAAGTCCTTGTTAATTAATGTGTAACAAAGAAAGAAATGTATCCATAAAAATGATTTCAGCCCTTATATGGGTGATTAGAAGGTCAGAACACTGGAGGTCTATTTTAGGTTTTAATAACTACTGAGCATAAAAGCTTGAGGAAATCACTTCAGGTTCTTTAACTGTAAGCATAAACTGCTTTCTAACAGTTGGCAGAATATAGGATAGGTATACTTGATTAGCAAAGGCACGAACTACAAATATTTAAAAGATAATACAAACAGGAGAAATCCAGAAATAAAACTATTCACATACTTGGCAAAACTAATACCAAGCAACCATGTGACAATCATATGAAGCTTTTCATCATAACAGTGATTCACAAATTTGAATTTCAATAGTGAGCCTAAAGATGATGGCAGCCTACGCTTTGGGGGGAAAATAATGGAAAATATTTCTTGAACAACTGAATCTTCTCTGATGCTTTATTTAACAGCTGCATTGAGATATAATTCACACACCACACAAGTCACTCATTTAAAGTGTAAAAGGCATTGGTTTCTAGTGTATTCAAAAGGTTGTGCAACTATCCCACCATCATCTGATTTTTAGCAGAACATCTGAGACGTAACAGTGATAATAGCTGTGTAGTCTCACACACTTCTTGGCTGCAAGTCTCCCTTCATATGAATGTGGGGTGTTTGTTCATCTAAGTGCAGGTTAGGCTTCTTAATTCTCATAAAAGGACATCATTTCTACCTTCTGTCCAGCTTAATTTTTAAGTACCTAACATGGTTTTAATAAAAAATTCAAAATATCTACAGTCTATCCTCTTGTCAGAGTATAGATATTGACCCATCTTTTAGCAAAGGCCTAATTGAAAAATTTCTAAGGATGTACAGGCTGTTTGTTCCTCTAGAATCTCCAAGATGACAAAGTGATCTTACATCCAAGTCTAATTTTTAACAGCTATTTGAGGTACTGAGAATATATCTAGGTTCA